TACACAGACACACAGACACGCACACACACACACAGACAACCTCTCGTCAATATGCGTTTTTCGCATTGCATGGCTGCAAAAAACGCATAAAAATTATTATTCAGAAGCCATAAATCTTATGTTCCGTAGTTCCCAGGTGGTCTGGGGTGTCGCAGTAGTTCTGGGGTTGACAACTTGGCCATTGGACGAGGCCAATATTACTTTCCCTTCGTATCCGGAAGGACCGTAACATTGGTATTCGTATTCAGAAGCAATGTTAGGGTCTAAGCTATCTATAGCCTCGTCAGTTTACCCTTGCTATTACCGAGCTACTTCTGAATACCTTCGTTATTTGTAGAGAGTGAATACGAAGAAGGGAAAAAAGGGAGGGAGGGAGGGGGAGGGCGAATATGACTTTGTAGAAAGTGAATACGGGGTAGGGCGGGGGGACGGCTGAATTTGACTTTCGTTTGGCCAAACAGAAGCAGAAGTGAAATGATTCAGATTGTAATTTAGCAGCATAATGTCGAGTTTGAATTTCTTGCCATGCGCCAGCAATACTTCACCAACAAAACGAGTGGAAGAATCGTAAATCCACAAACAGAAAACATGGAAGTTTCGGACCAACGTCTCAGAACCACGCAAGAGGAAGTGGGTGATGCAAACTCCGACAATAACCCGACTATCTCCGACAGGTGAGTAAACCCTTTTACAATTTTTATGCATTTTTTTGCTGAAATTTCAAATTTACTCTTTTTTTTTGAACTTTTTTACCGTGACAAATTCGAAAACTCGAAATTTTATTAAAATTTAAGGCTCCAAAATTCGAAGAATTTTCAGTGCAACTGCTGTGAGGAATCACGAGGAATTACTAAAATCAAGCGATGAAATACGGCAAAAACTGGAGGAGATCCGTCGAAGTAAAGCATACGAAATGATGAAGTATGAAACGATAGCACGGATGAATGCGGGAAGTGTTAGCGCCTACTTGCGGCAGGAACGTTTCAAGCCGAGCCCAGTGAAGCCGAGCACCGAAATTGATGAACTTTTGCAGAAACACGACGAGGAAACGAAGGACCAGGCGGCTTGTATTATCCAGCAATTTGTTGGTTAAACAGATACTTGCACCTCTTAAGAAAAGCTGGTGGAGGATCCCCAGACGAAGTGGGTAACAGCGGAAGGCGCGAATTTTCCTCTGATTTCATACCTTATGAATTTCCTTTGAGAAAAATTGCTTTGAGGTACAACAGACTCTGATCAGCCGCAAGATCCCGGAGATGGGGAGAAGTGTTTTTATAACAGAGATCACTAAGACTGCAAAACTTTAACAGGGCAGAGTGTCCAAAGGTTGAACCGGGGACCGTGGGCATTGCGCATCACAGTGACGCAATTTTTCCTTACGTAATTTCCAACAAAAAACCATGAATCATTATGTGACACACCGTTGGTCAGCGTGCTGGCGATCTTGGTGCCCACTTTTTCTCCGCTGGAATTACTTAACAGCTC